CGGCGGCGTGGGGCGTCCTACTGTGCACCGGCGCTTGCAGGTTCCGCGTCCCGGTGCAGAGGGGATGAGGCCGAGAGCAGGTAGTCTGGGCCATGCACGCCCCAGTATATGCCACCTTCCTCGGCGGGGAGCGCTGGGGAGGCCGAGGAGGAGTCAGGGTCCCCAGTGCACATCCACGCGCCCCTCCCCCGCGTCTGCTCTGAGTAAGGCGGTGGGTGCCTAACCCTGTCTTAGGGGCAGGGCTCCAGAGACTGGGCCGCGCCCGGGAAGGAAGGCCCTAACAGGAGCCCCTAGGTGTTCTTGGCCCTTTGGGGCTAATATCTGTGCAGATACAGTGCGTGTTTCAAGGAACTCGGAGATCACCTGGAAGAGGCACTTGAGTGCATTTGGCTGGGAAATGGTTACTCTAGCAAAAGAAAGAAAAAAGAAGAAAAGAGAAGAGAGGAGAAAAAGAGAAAGAAAAAAGAAAGAAGATAGAGAAGAAAAGACTGTCCAGACAGCCCCCATCTTTCCTCCCCGGCATGCACACACCCTCCTGCCTACCAACTTCTAAACTGCCTGGGTTAGGGAAGCCGGGGATGGTCTCCGCCTGGTCACTGCAGACCTTCAACTTCTGTCTTCTGGCAAAGGCAACGCCTGGCCAAGGCCAGAAGAGCAGGGCCGGGGATATAGCTCAGTGGTATAGAGCCTGCCTGGCAAGCTCGAGGTCCTGAGTCCGGTTCGGGTATTATTAAATTCCAGTCTTATTTATTAAATAAATAAATAAAAATAAAAATTGGTACCGAGGAGCAAGAAGAGCCCGGGACAGCTCAGGATGCAGGGGCGTCCCTGCCTCAGTGAGGGCCTCTCGGAGACCCGCTCAGAGCCCACGTGCGTGCGGCCTCCGTGCTCCCCGCTGCCTCACTGGGCACCTGGAGCTCCCGCTGTGGTCTGTGGTAGGGAGCAGCCGGTTCCTGGGATGGAGGGTGAGCACAGCAGACAGGCGTGGAGGACACACAGGGAGGCTGGAAAAGCCAAAGGCACCTCAGAGGGGGCAAGCCAGGCTGGGAAATCACTCCCAACACAAAGCTCTGGGGGCGGGAGGGGGAGCTCAGTTGCCTGCAGCCTCACCATCTAGGCTGGCCTGGTCCCAGCGGCCAGCTCAGAGTCCTCAGAGTTAGAGGAGAGAAAAGAGCAGTGAGGTGGTGAAAGGGGACGGTGTGCAGATCTGGAAGGGAGCGGGAGGAGAACTTCTGGTTTTCACCAAATAGAAACCCTAGAAGAGTCCTCTGGGCCACACTCAGACACCTTCTTCCCTTCTGCCTTTGGGGGCCAGAAATTTCTGGCGTAGCATATGCTTTTGAGTGCAGGTCACAGAGCTCCTATCTGGTACAGAGCCTAACGTTACCCCTTACTTACGGGGCTAAAGATTCACTAAAACTGTGTCTCCATCTCCTCATCTGTAGAATGCAACTCACAACGGTAGGTGGTAGGTGACCAGCTCACAACGGTAGGTGGTAGATGACCCAACTCACAACGGTAGATGGTAGGTGACCAGGGAATTGCTGGGTATGGAGCACTCAGAGTGATGTGGGCATGCAGTGAGCGTGCTGCGTGTCAGTTGTCAGTATCTCTACTCTTCCCCTAGGGGGGCACAAGCCCTTGCCCCTGGATTGACAACTTCTCCAGAACACCTTTGTGTTACTGTGCGTGGTGCCTCTGACACCCTGCACCAGCATAGGAGAGAGAGCCCATCCAATGCAAGAAGTCCAGGGCTTGGTGGGGGTATGAGCCAGCATGGTCAAACATCCATGTGCCAGGGATATGTTAATTTATTACTCCACCCAACAGTTCTCTAAGGCACAAATTCTTGCCCCCATTTTACACGTGTGAACATTTAGGCACAATGTGTTCAAGGGATCCACCCAAGTTCTGGGGCTGTTTTATCTGATGTCTTGGGAGGTGGGGAGAAAACTGTTGCCCCAGGATACTTGCTTCCCACTTCAATAACCTCTACAGGATAGAGTTTGCCAAGGAGAGGAGTGGAACAGAGCATACAAGGGAAGGACCAGGATTGAGATTAAAGTTATCCAGGAGCCAGGCTTGGTGGCATAGGCCTGTAACCTGAGCATTTGGTAGGCAGAAGCAGGAGGATTGCCACAAGTTCTCAAAGAAAGAAAGAAAGCCCAGAAATCCACGTGGACCTTAGCTCTGCATCTCACCCCTGCAGGTAGCTATGTGCCCACACATCCAGTCTGTCACTACCCCAGCTCCCCTCTCAGGTCTAACCTCTCTGCTCCAACCCTCCAGCAGAGGCCCTTTGCCCACCCTCTTCTGCTCACTCTCCCTGTAGTCTATTGTCCGGATCTCCAGAATGGCCTTCCCCTTCAAACCCCTCCATCGCTGTCACAGTGTGACAGCAGAAGACCCTCCCGAGGCTCTGCCTGCCTGCCTAGCCCCGCCCCTGAAGCCCCCATGCTGGCTTCACAGAATCATTTTCAGTTCCCCAACTAGCTGGGCTGTTGCCCTGTCCCACGTCTTTCCTTCTGCCAGGGGGTATGTCCCCCACTTATCCCCGGCATTAGGTTATATCTAATCATCTTGAAGCCCATCTCCTTTGGCAAGTGTTCCCTGGCACCCCCGTGTTCCCCTGCGTTCCAGCCAGCCCTACAGCCCACATCTGGAGGCTCTCAGCAGCTCCTCTTTGCCACCTGCTAACGTTCTCCTTGAAGTGACAGCCAGTGTAGAATTTGCCTCTAAGTCCGGCGTCCGGCACGGTGCAAACCCAGGCCTGCTGGCCAGGGCGCGGTCCGCACGGCTCAGTCGAGGCCTCCCGCTCGCCCAGTGCGAAGAATTGCATTTAGGGTTCAGCTGTGCCCTGCCTGCGCAGGACTGGGAGCTGGCTGCGCCTCCTGGACGACTTCCTTGGTCTCTGGCTCTGGCTGACCTGGTCGATCGAGGGGCAGGAACAAGGAGGGGGAGCCGGCGGGTGGGATCGGGAAGATTTCCTCTCCTCGCTCTCGGTCCCCTGGGGCCTCCAGCGTTCAACCCGGCCTCCTGGGGGCGCCAAACCACAGAGGCTGCCGCGAGACGTGAGGCGGGGCAGGGGCACTGCCCGCCTGTCCACGCCAGCCCGGGCCAGCGGGCGGGGCCCACGCCTCCTGCCCCTCCGCTCCGCGCTTCCGCTTTTCGGTCCTTTCCTCCCTGCGCCGCCGCTCCCGCTGTCCTCC